TAAAGAGTCAACACCTCTCATCACGAGTGTAGCGAGCAGCAGAGGGGCTTGATCTCTTGACTATACTTGACAGCACTGTTCATCTAAACCTTATCTGATGCACTTGCGCCTCTGGCACCTCTGGAAACCACTTGAGAAATGAATGGCTACGGATCGCCCTACCTCTACATGGGGGGACCGGTGTCCCAGCCGAGAGCGCCCCTCCAGAGGACCCCCAAGTGTGCCCGCTGCAGGAACCACGGGGTGCTCTCCTGGCTGAAAGGGCACAAGCGTTACTGCCGTTTTAAGGACTGCAGTTGCGAGAAATGTATTCTGATAATCGAGCGACAGCGGGTCATGGCGGCTCAGGTGGCGCTCAGGCGGCAGCAGGCGAACGAGAGTTTGGAGAGTTTGATCCCCGAGTCTCTGAGAGCGCTGCCGGGCATCACGGTGGGGAGCGGAGAGCAGAGTGCAAACCCACGATCAAGCGGCATAGACCTGCGCTGGAGCTCAGAGACAGTGACCCCTAAACCGTCGCAAGGTAATCGCTTATTTTGGTTACACAATATTTGAAACAGTTTACTCTTTAAAACTTCGTTTTAGGAACACTGAAGACAACGCGTTTAGCGTCTTGCGTGTAGAAAGATTCTTTCAAAGTGATAATAATTCGTTCTTTTTTATTATAGCCTAATTCTCCTATTGTTGTTACAAAATGTAGGCTATTATAAAACTAAATAGAATGATCTTAACCGAGAACACGACTGGAGTTTTAAACCACAGTAGCCTACTCTTGAAATAACTTACGTTCATAACAATTAAAAAAAAAATATATATATATATATGTATATATGTGTGTGTGTAAATATCTTTGCAGTAGTTTTAGCAGCAATCTTGCGGATCGAGACAACATGATCATGCAGAATGCAGGCATTTTTGTTTCCTGGAAGTATAGCCTGTTTTCTTAAACCGGCAAAAACACACTTAATAATAACGGCTATTATTAATTTTATTTTCATTAAAAATACCATTTATTCTTTGCCACTGAAATTTTAACCATCACAAACACGTTTATTACAACAACCTTTTTTCAGCCTTTGCGTTACATAGGCTTCGTTAGATTAAAATAGCTACATCCCAAACCAAAAGGTTCTGCTTAAAATATTTAGTCCGAAAAATTTCAACAGAAATATTTAAGACAATCCGACATGAAGCTGAACGAAACTGGCATCGGCCCACCATCCGTGATAAAACTAAAAAATAATCTGAAACTGAAAGATGATTGTATTCTGTGATGGACAGTGCGCATCACAGGTAATAGGGTAAGCCATTTCGGTCATTTCAGGGGAAGGTCAAGCTGAAATGCAAAGGAAGTCCAATTGAATGTAAAATGTTTCTTAAGTAATCAGTTTGCAAAACTGTAGTGAAGTGGAATCGACAAGATATTTTTCAGTGCCACTGCGTCAGCGTATTTATGTGAACAGCTAATAAAGTCGCCCATTATAAATCACAGGAGTGCTGACAGGTCACTAGCCTGAATGTTGCACTTCTAGTCTGCAGAATCAGACAATACTTTTGAGTCAGACTTTTAGCTGGACTTTAACGTGGTTTCCACTTAAGCTATTTTTAAGAAATGTCGGGCCTTAAAGATTTAAAAGAATGTTAACATTTAGTTAAATTGACAGTTTTATACTTTTTATTTTACTCTATGAAATTGTCATGTTGCTGCAGCATCACTGTATTACAATCTTTGATTATACAGTATAGTATCTTCATGAGGTCTAAACTTGTGTGTGTGTATGTGTGTGTGTGTTTCTTTTTTTTCAGACCTAAATGAGGACCTGTCTGGTGAGCAGTCAGGTGAAGAGAACGGAGGCAGTTCCAGTGACAGAGAACCAGAACCAGCCAGCTCCCCTGAGGAGTGCAAACCTAACCTATGTTGCACCCCTGACACCTCAGACCCAACTTCCCAGGTTGAGGAGTCCCGCTTTGGCCTGTCTAAATCCTGCACCGACCCAGAACCCAAAGCTGACAATCCCAAATACTCTCCTGAGCCCAACATCCTCATCGAAGGCCTTTCAGGCTCTGTATCTCTCCCTTTCAGCCTCAGAGCCAACCGACCGCCACTGGAGGTCCTGAAGAAGATCTTCCCAGCCCACAAACCAGCAGTCCTGGAGCTCATCCTGAAAGGCTGCGGTGGAGACCTGGTTGGAGCCATCGAGATCCTGCTCTCCAGTCGTTCTACGATGAAACCAGAAAAGGTCCTGTCTGAGAACTCAGATACCCTGGTTCTCCCCTCAAACGGCCACCTCTTTGAGCACCCGCTGAGCTCGTACCCAGTGTCGTCTTCCAAGTGGTCGGTCGGTTCGGCCTTCCGTGTTCCAGATTCCCTGCGCTTCTCCTCAGAGCCTTCTGCTGGAGTTGTACCA